TACTTCTTGTTCTTCTTGCTGGTGATTGTTCATCTTCCTGTTTTTTCTGATTTTCTTCCAATTCTTTTTTCTTTTGATTTTTCCTTGCAACCATTTTCCTTCTTGGTTGCTTTGAATTTTGTGAAGATTCTTCACTCTTTTGAGACAAATTTAACTCTTCAACAGGTTTTATACCTCTCAATATTCTTGTCAACTCCTCATCCCTTTGCAATTCTTCTTGTCTTTGTCTTTCCAATTCTTCTTCTATTTCATCCTCAATCTCAATTTCTTCACCACATATACATTTAGATCATTTACAAATTGGTAAATGAACATTTTCAGTATAAGTGTTATTGATTAAAAAAATTTAATATTTAATTTAACAATTATGTACATTACCTAATAGGATTTTTTTAATTTCAGCAGGGGCCTTCTGTTGTGCATTTGCAGAACTTGCTGCATGGGATTTTTCTGCAGCAGAGGACTTTTCAGTAGTTGTAGCTGGGGCCATTTCAGCAGCAGTGGCTTTTCCAGCAGTATCAACAGTTGTAGCAGGGGCCTTTTTCGCAGCAATGACCTTGCTAACAGGAGCAGTTTTCCAGTTTTTTTAGTATTCCTTGAGTTGACACTTTTAATTTTTTCCTGGCAACAGATAATTTATGATCAATAATATTGTAAATGTGGAATAGAAACATTTAATAAGTTATATATGTTCATACTTTTGCATTATGTATGAATGTGTTTCTTCAACTGCTGCTGGAGGCTCATCCTCTTTTGGAGGCTCATCCTCTGCTGGAGGCTCATCCTCTGCTATAGCCTTCACTTGTTGTGTAGGCTGATCCTTTGCTGTAGCCTCTTTTGGAGGCTCATCTTCAGTTGATTGATTTCTAAAAATTAAAAATTGAAAATGATTAAAAATGTTTATCAACTAATATGAAAATGAACATTAGTTGATTTCTGAAAATACCCTGCTGCATCCTTTTTTGGTTGTAGTTGTTCAACCTCTCTTGTGTCTTTCTTAGGTGTTTGATTTCTGAAAACCAATTAATTTTAAATAATTAAAATTTTTTATTAAGTAATATGAAAATGAACATTATGGGAATCAAATACCCTGTATTCACTAATTCTGATCCAGCCTTTTCTTGTTGTAGGTGATCAGTTTTTGCTTCCTCTTCAGTTGTTTTTTTTTTCTGAGAATGCAAATCATTAGTTTATGTATGACAACTAAGAAATAAATGAACATTAAACACATTGAGGTAGAATATACCCTTGATTTGTTGATGCATCATCTATTTTTGAAGTTTCCTTCTCTTGTTCACTGAAATTTTTCGAATGTTAATACATAAAAGTATGATTATGTAACTGTATAAAAATTAATTATTGAATTTTTATTAAGTATTTATACCTTATTGATTGAATTTTCTCTGGCCTTGATCTTGGCATTATAAATTTCACTTTCAACTTTTTTGGTTCACTAAAATTTTACAAATTATTTCAATTATGAGATTAAGTATTGAAGTAAATGATTGTACATTAAATATTACATATATGAATATTTGTAAGTATATCAACTTACTTGGGATGTAGGTTGTCTCCTAATAAATAGGGTTCCCACTTTTTTATAACTTCATTTCTATCCAATTTGTTGTCTATTTCAGAACATTCTTTTCTCTCATAAATTATAGGATAAGGATTGAACATTCCATTGTCAAATTGCATCAAGTGTATCACTTTAAATGGTACATCACTACAATGTAAATTAATATTGTAAATCATAAAAATTGACATGATGTTTCTATGTTAGACAAATGTACAGAATAGTTCATATAAATGATCAATATAGTTGTAGCAATGAACATTTGTATACACATATATGGATATATATAACATAATATGAATTTTGACAATATAGTGTTTTGTAAATGTTCATTTTACTACACAGATGAATAAAGTATATGTTTTCTATTTGTACAAAATGGAATTTAGAAATGAACAATTAATATGTCAGTAAATGTATACACATAAATTTAGAAATGAACAATTTAGAAACAAACATAAATTGCATGCTGTACACATAATATACAAATTTGAACATATGTATACATATATATGCACACAATCCAATTTGAACATATACTGTTTTGTATTTGTTCATTATATTTCACAATACTATACTTTATATTTTTTTTGGTTGATCATTTAATCAAAATTATGCATACATTCAAATATTAACAGTAACTTGTTTAAATTTTTATTATCGTCTCAGAAATAGAGGAAAATTATGTTTATTTTGAAATTAAACAGTAACTTGTTTAAATATGAGCAAATTTAAATAAATTTATGCTTATAATTCCAAAAAAAATAGTAATACTTACTTTGATTGTTCTGGAACTCCAGTATTTTCAATTTTTTTCCTGAAGCATCATCAAAAAGAAAAAATACCAAAAAATTAGGGTTTTGTTTCGCAATTTTCAATTAATTTTACACTAAACATGTAAAACATACTTACTCATTAGATTTTTGGTTTGTTGTTGTTGAAATTTGTCGAGAATGTGCAATTTCGTCTCTTATGTCGGACATTTTAGACAATTTTACTTGCTAATTGCATGTACGAAAATGGAGTAGAGAGAGAAAATGGAGGTTGAGTGAGAAATTGGAGAAAGAGGATGAGAAAGAAAAATGTGATTATTTGAAAAGTTTTTTTTTTAATTATATATATATATATGGGTGGGGTAGTGGGAAGTTACTGACAGTTTTAGAGGGAAGTTACTGGGATGTGTGGGGGTAGTGGTACGGCGTCGTTTAGGGGGGGTGTAGGGATAAATGGCTAAACTAGAGTCTAGCCATAAATAATTAATCAAAATGGGTCGACCTTTGAGCCGTCTTTTGGTGAATCAATACCAATAGGCTTAGTCCATATAAACCATCCAACTTTTTTTTTTAAGCCAATATATTAATTCCATTATATATAATTAAAAAAATAAAATAAAAACTGATATTTGAAAATTTTATACAGTAAAAATAAGCTAATAAAAATCTACGAGTACATGCGAATTTATTTCTATTAGGAACCTCGTTTCATATTATTTGCAATGATTTAACATAAAATAAAGAAGAAAATATCTAATCGTTGCAAATAATATGAAACGGAGGTAGTATATAAATTATAAAATATAGTCAAAATGAGACTACATGAATGATAAATGCGTTGAAGTTTCAAAAATAAAGTCGTATATAGTACTTTATTTGTTTTCGAATCCTGTAAGCTCTAGTTTTTTAGACTTCTGAACAAAATATAATAGATTTTAACAAAGCAAAGTAGGACAAAATAGAGCGGAGTAGAACACCTCAAAAGAACAAAGTCGTAGTACTCCGTAGTTTCTAATTAACTTTGACTGATATAAAATTTTAGTTGAGTTAATTACTTTGTAGAAATATAAAGTGAGCACCACCACAAACTAATAACGATATAAAATTGATTAAAGTCAAGAAATGGAAACACACGGGCGTGCAAAAAAGACGTAGGTAGGTGACAACAACACCATAAATAGTGGTATCCGCACTACTTTCTCTTTCCTGTTTCCCTCAGCTCACCTACATCCAAATTTAACTCTACCCCATTTCCCAATTATTAGTCTAATTATTATCTCTTCCTCTAATCACCTGTTTCGCAAGCCTACACTACCATCCATGCACTCTCCTATCACACCAAACCCTCTTAACAATTATATGTACGTTTCTACTTCCTCAGACCCTCTAAGTATTTCTATTTTTCGAACTTGTTAAAATATTATCGAATCTAAAATCACTACTCGTAAAGCTTTATCATACACCATTTAAAATCACTACTCGTAAAGCTTTTAAATTATCACTCTTTTTTTCTTTTGGAAACTTTTAACAATATTTAGGGTCTGTTATGTTCATCTTATTTTCACTTATTTCAGGTCTAATAAATTCAGATAAGTTATAATAAATTAATATAAGTTCTGATAAGTTAAGTTCTAGAAAAATAAGTTCAGATTAGTTAACTTCAAGAAAAATTAGTTCTGACAAGAGTTACCCAAATTCAAATTACAACTAAAATAAGTTAAGTTCAGATAAATTAAGCAAAGTTCAAATCAAAGAAGATAAGATGAATATTTTCTTCCTACTAATTATACTTGCTTTTTCAAATTTTTAAATTCTCCAATCAACTCCATTTCAATTATTACCTCCGTTAATTATTATGTTCAGCTTTGAAATTTTAATATCTCACAAATATTACCCTAAAATTATACATAATAATTAACGGAAGTGTTTTTTATTTTTTTAATTAACAGAAGTGTTATTACTCAATTTTGTGTTCGAAAAAGCAGGATAATTAATCAAATGAGTATGGGGAAGTATCATATAACTAATATATAAAGCTAAACTTTTAGCCAGACGATGAGGCAGCGACACTTGACGTTCCAACTTTTCGTCAAGTGTCGTGCCACGTAAGATAGAGTTATATCGAACTCAATTGGTAGAATAAAAAAAGTTAGTTTAGAATTTTATTTTCAATCAAATTTGGATAGAATTTTAGGATAAAATTGTTAATTTAGAGTTTTATTTTTGATAAAGTACCAATATTTCATAGGTACAAATTGAATTATAATTTTATTCAAAAAATAATTAGATTATAACTCTCATAAATTATCATATAAATTTATTTTTTGTATCATAATATTTTTCTGGAGTGAAGGAATTAGTTCAAAATGTACCACATCCATTGTTTATAATATATTTTAATCAATTAAAATAATATACTTCACAATCTAATATAATTTTATTACTGTGTGTAGACCTGTAAATCAGGTCGGGTCACCGACCATTTCAGGCAGGGTTACGGGTCAAGAAATATTTTTCACCAATATTATTATTATTAGTCATTACATGTCTACAAGTTTAAATAGTCACAAAAACACATCAATTCCTAACTAATTTTGTATCAATGATATGTTTTAAAATTTGACATATAGATTAAAAATATATTTTAAATTTCAATAAACAACCCGGGTATCGCACGGGCACAAAACTAGTATCTTTATATAAACAAAAATTAAAAATCTGATTCGAGTACAACGTGGTATGATCGTCTGTCTACACGAATACACGACTACACAAGATAAATCCTCCGCAAGAAAAAAACAAAAAGTAAATTGAAAATACAATAATCAGGTAATAAAAATTTATACACCCCACAAATCTAATCAAAAAAATGATCCGTTGGAAATAGCGACGCTAACAGGAGAGAGAGAAACTTCAAAGATTGTACAAACTTGAATTCAACAAACCCTAATTTCTTTTTGTTTTTCATTACTCTCAAATTCCTTTTCAATTACTTCCCCAGAAAAATCCCCAAATTGATTGAAAATGGCTGCAATTGAAGATAATAATCCCAAAAACCCTAACCCTAGCGAAACTCCGAGGAAGAGAAGACCAAGCTTACCGGAGCTCTGGTTTAAGGATCAGCAATTGAAGCATGCAATCTTCAGAATGCAGCAGCTTCAACAAGCTCACAGTAATTCCAATTCAAATTCCAAGAATTTGATTTTAGGTGGTGATCCTTTCTCTCTCTTATCTGATGAATCGCTTAGTTTTATTTTTTCTAAGGTGCCGATTTCGCAGCATTTTTCGAATTCATTGATTTGTAAGAGGTGGTATGTCATTCAAGGCCAGTTAATTCGTTCAATTTCACTGTTTGATTGGGATTTTCTTGAATCTGGGAGATTAACTTGTCGGTTTCCTAATTTGAGTGAGATTAATCTTGGTCCAGCTTGTTTTAGGAGTTGTTGGAGTTCTGGGATTTTGATGTCACATAGATTGGTTTCGATTCATCTCGATTCGGAGATTGTAAGTGATAGTTTGGTTGGAAGTGAAGGGGTTTTGGGGTCTAGGTTGATTGATAGAGGGCTCAAAGTGCTTGCTGATGGGTGTCCTAATTTGAGCAAATTAGTGTTGGTTAATGCTAGTGAGAAGGGGTTAGGTTATTTGGCTGAAAAATGTTTGATTTTGCAAGAGTTGGAGATACATTGTTGTGAGGATATGTCGTTGACAGCGATTTCCGGGTTTAAGAACTTGCAGATACTCAAATTGGTGGGCTGTGTGGATGGTTTGTATGATTCTGTAGTAACCGATATCGGGTTGACAATGGTAGCTCAGGGTTGTAGGAGGTTAGTGAAGCTTGAGCTTAGTGGGTGTGAGGGTAGCTATGATGGGATTAAGGCCATTGGGCAATGTTGTCAAATGTTGGAAGAGTTGACTCTTTGTGGTCACAAGATGGATGGTGGGTGGCTGTCGGCGCTTTCGTTTTGTAGCAATTTGAAGACATTGAAGCTCCAGTCTTGCCAGAGTATAGATAGCTGCCCTGGTCCTGATGAGCATTTGGGCTCATGTCCGACACTTGAGGAGCTGCACTTGGAGCGATGCCAAGTTCGGGATAAAGAGAGTACAAAAGCTCTGTTCTTGGTGTGTGAATCCATCAGAGAGATCTCGTTGCAGGATTGTTGGGGGTTAGAGGATGATATATTTCGTTATGCTGTTAATTGTAGGTATGAAATTGGTTTACTGCTTTATGTTTGTTTGTTCTGCGTACTGTTTAATGTCTCTTTATGGCAGGATAAGACGTCATTACCCCTCCTGTATAGCTTTATTCTTGGACTGGGTTACATTGTATGCTAGTTCTTATAGTTGTAGATGTAAATGTTCTAACAAGATCACAGTTTGCAATTTTGCATGCAATGGTTGACCTGCCTGAAGTTCTAGAAACAATATCAGCATATCAATAATGTAGAGATTGGGAAACTACTGTTTACTTGTTCATAAATAGGAAATATGAATATTGGTGTCGTCACATTACACAATATACCTTGTCACTCACTACACTTGAACATTAATGTAATTATATCAGCTGAGCAATGATCATGGCAGTGGCATTTCAGAAGTAAATTGCGGTAGCTACCAATTCATGACAATGTTTAAATCAGTTTGCGTTAGGTTATACTGTCTGTTGCTTTTAGTCTGTCACCCTAAGCATTGGGGGGTTTGGGGGGGGGTATGTGGAAGGTATGCCTCGGTGGGAATGTCATGTTCTTGACCTGCAAAGCGTATAAGCTGCTAATGATCCTGCGGTATCTGAATTAGTTCTTATATACCGTTAAGCTCTTTTGGCTGAACATGCTTGTATTGATTTATTGAAGCTTCATTGCCATTTTTTTTTTTGGTAAAGAAACGATTTTTGGGTATGTTCACAACAAAGCAAGGTGTGGAGAGTAGAGAGAGATATCTTTATGTTTCTTGAAGGGAGATATGCAATCCCCAGGATACTTGTAGCTGTTGGAAATTCATCATTGGTTGTTGCAGATATTGACCATTTTTTTGATGTTTGTAGAATCAATTAGGAAAGATTCATTCAACAGTAACTGAACTCTTATAATTACCTGGGGAATGTAGGAAAGCTTAGGTTGACTCTTAATTAGGTTGGGATTTACAGTTGTAGGAAAAGTTTCTCATGGGTACTATTCACTAATGTTTGAGTTCAACGATGGAGATTGAAATTTAATTGAAATTTAATGGAAGACCATTATTTCATCACTTGTCATGCATAATGTTAACCTTTCTCCATAAGTAAATCACTCGCATATAAGTAAATCACTCGAGAGAGGGAGAGGGTTGAGGTTGAGGTTGCCAGGAAAAAGAGATCAAATACTTTATGTGTAATCAGGGGTCTAGCACACCTGAAATTTGACTGGGCACTGTTGTTGGACATTGGGGCTAAATTTGTTGCTTTCTAGCAGAAACTAGCAGTTTATCCTTGTTTTTCATTGAAGTGTGGTTTCTTGTGATCGGTGTGCTCAGGTTTTGATTTGTCTCTGATTCTGCTTGATTATGTTTTGCCCATTCTTTATTATGATTGGGTTTTCCTTTTTCACTGTTTTGTGTGTCGAGACTAGTAACAAAGACAAAGTGTTGGGGTATGGGATGGTGCAAGGGGGCGTGTGGCATGTGCACAAGACATGTGCACCCAAGGACAAGGCTTACAAACAACTAGTTTTGTTGTTTGAGGGTATGCCATCGTTAGGGGTGTTCAAAAATACCCGACCCGACGACCCGCTGACCCGGATAAATTTTACCGGGTATTTTTATATTTTTTTCTGAAATTTCCGGGCCGGGTACTCGACCCGAAAAATAAGCTGGTCTTCGGGTCGGATCGTGGGCCGAGTTGTGAGGGTGTCGGGTACCCGCTGACCCGTAAGTTTAGTATTTTGTTTTTTAATATTTATTTATTTGTTCTTTTAAAGTGTTAGAGACTTAGGGTTATCTTTAGTCTTTACTTCTATTCTCTCTCCTCATTACAACCGTCATCCCCCTCATGCTCTCTCTTTTTTTGCTCTTCAATTCACTCAATCACTCCTAGATTTCTAGCTTTCTTCATCTTCATCCCTTTATTTTGTGTATTATATGGATTATAGACAACCCATCCATCTCATGAGGAGTCGTGAGTTCGTGATAGATAATCGCTTACAAACAACCTAGGTGCGATGCGGGTGTTGCTGTTTCTATGTGTGTGAGCTTCAATTCGGTGATTTCTACTGGCTGCCGATGTTGGATTGTTGCTGCTTCTTGGTTTAAATTTGATTGATTTTTTGGGAATCTTGTTGTTTGTTGGGTATGCTATGCAAGTGTAGTTAATTTTTCATTTTATTTTTTAATAAAATTGTTATTAAACTTAATTTGTACTTTGTTTGATTGATTAATAATTTAATATAATTAGAGTACTTTTTTGTCTATTAAGACCGCGATTATGATGAGCTTGGGCCTTTATAAACTTGATATGAAACCCGATGTCCCGACCCGAATAATTCGGGTACCCGAAACCTGGGTACCCGAGATATTCGGGTCGGGACATGGGACAAATTATTAACTACCCGAAACTCCGGGTACCCGGGTTTTCAGGTACCCGAAAACCCGGGTACCCGGATTTGAACACCCCTAGCCATCGTTGCCTTAAGACATGGTGATTAAGGATGAATGAGATGGTTATGACCATCATCCATGACTCCAAGGCCCTTTGGGAACCTATGGAAGTACTTGGACTCATAATCTTGCTGGGTGAAAAAATGATGTACGGAAGCCAAATTTGAAGGCTATAATACACGAAATCGGAGCAATTCAGTAGGTGTCCGGACCCGGTGTCAGAAATTCACGAAATTTTACGAGATGCATCCCGAGGTCATATGATGTTGTTTGGACCCATATACAACTACAAGTCAGCAACATAAAGGCCCTGTGGAAGTTTATAGCCAATACAAGTGGCGTGTACGGAAACTGGTAAATTGTATGCTTAAAGGCAAATTGGATGGTTTCACCCACCGAATTGGACTCTTGGAGGGTATTAGGGTCTATAGGTAGCTTCTCGGCAATTTTTGTTTACGGGTCAAATAAAAAGTAAAAAATTGGCAAAATTGAAGGCTATAATACAAGCTTTTTGGCTAATTTAGGAGGTTTCGGGACCCGGTGTCGAAAAGTCTCGAGATACCATGGGATACATCCCAAGGTCATATAATATCGTTTGGAACCATATATGATCAATATATAATGTCATAAATGTCCGTGGTAGCCTCGAGTTTATGAAATCGGTACAAGTTGTAAACGGGTAAGTTGTCAGTTTGAAGGTATATTGGATGGTTTTACCCACCCAAATGGACTCCCGGGGTGTATAAGGGGGTCCATGGGAACATCTCAGCAATTTTTATTCCCGGGTCTAAAAAAGTGAAAAATTGTCCAAAATTGAAGGATTCACAATTTCGGGTCATTTTTTTGACATTTTTTCTAAAACTGAACTGAATGCGTGGGGTGACTCCCGGGGTCATATAAGGTGGGTTGAAACCATAACACACCTATAAAGATGTCTATGAAGTACCAAGAATGAGTTATGTTTCTATTTCAGGTTTTGATTTGTCTCTCATAAGTCAGAATATAGAAGCTGATTCTGCTTGATCATGTTTTGCCCATTCTTTATTATGATTGTGTTTTCCTTTTTCACTGTTTTGTGGGTATTGTTTGGGAAACAGAAGTGTTACATTCATCCAACTATTCTTCATCTTACTTGAAGTGGGTGCCTTTTTTAAAGGTGCTAGTGTTATATTGATGTTGCTGTTGTTAGTGGCATTTACTACTTTAGGTGAGATTGTCTTGAGTCACAACATTTATATGATGGTTGGTATCATTGTTTGCAGGAGGGTGAAGTCTCTATCTTTAGAAGGATGTTCTCTGCTTACAACGGAAGGCTTGGATTCAGTGGTTCATAAATGGACAGAGCTCCAGACACTGAAAGTGGTGTCATGTAATAGTATAAAAGATTCCGAAATCACTGCTGAGCTGGCAACTTTGTTTTCTGTCCTGAAAGAATTGAAGTGGAGGCCAGATTCCAGATCTCTACTAGCTTCAAGTCTTGCTGGCACTGGAGTGGGAAAGAAGGGTGGTAGATTCTTCAAAAGGGTATGAGGCTGAACTTATAACCTGGTGGTGCAAGTCTGAACTTCAATTGTTGTATCTGGCTGTCTCAGACAGCCATCATAAAGGTTCACCCTTGGTGCTGAATATGCACGTTTTCACTTTGTTTGGTAGCATTGTAGAGGGAAAGGGAGGGAGAGGTTAGGGGAGGGAAAAGAATGGCTTCCATTTTCCTTCCAATGCTATCCGGCAATGGAAGGATTTAATTTCTGAAAAGGGAAAGAAATTTTTCCCTTCCCCTTGTCTTATGTGAATCAGGAAAATGAAACCCTCACTTTCCCTTCACTATCTCTCTCTCTCTCTCTCTTTCCAAATCTTTCTATCCAAACAATAGTGTTAATCTCATAATGAATATTTGCTAACTAGTTTTTTTTGTTTTTTGTTTTTTTTTTTTTCTTCAGATGGTTAACATGGTGGACAAGAGAAAGTAATTGGCTTTCTGGAAGCTGCTCAGGGAGCCATTGGCAACATCTGTGTAAATATACTGTTCTTCATGACCCCAAATGTATGTGGGGTTCCAATTTATTAGAAGTTTTAATAAAGATCGATTCTGTTGTATTTTACTTAGAATAGTTAGAAATGTAGAAAACTTGTATACTTTCTGTTTCCGTTGAGTAGTTGAACCAATTGACGGGAGGTGCTGCACTCGAAAACTCACCCCCACATTATTATATCACAACTCTGAGAATTTGCAAAGTTGCATACTTGACATAATTGTTTAAAAATTGGCTCAGTTACCACTGAACCCACTTCTTCCCCTCGCTGAGGTAGTTTTCTGTTATTGTGTTTCTTTTGAACCAAAACCAACAGGTACTTCAATTTGTATGGATGCATGTCAACCATGTGTTTATGAATCTACAGTTGAGGTGCTTAAGACACAGAGTGTGGAATATTGTCGTAACTAGGGCTGCAGGCATTTTGGAGCCTTTACTTGTGGGATATTTTATCAATGCGTAGAGGAGGCCTCCCTGAAAAGGTCGTCTCCTGTCTCTTATCAAGATGTCCGAATGTCTATGTACTCTTCTATTTTCATACAAGCTTCCTCAGAAGCATGCTATTGTATTCAGACAGATGTGTGTTTTGCAACTTCTATTCAAGGATAACTGACATTTCTTGGACTGGTGGATCAGATATGCCTGTCAGATAAGTGTACACTTCTACAGTTGAACATTTTCTTCTTTCAAACTTACTTTGCAATATTCTGCTTGTTGCAGAGCTAGTTGGAGAAGGTAGTTTTAAACAATTTGTTTAAAATTGCTTATTGGGGCTGATAGCTTGATGTCTGTCTGCTACTATTTGATATTGACCAATGTGTGTTCCACACTTCCACCATCTTTATTATTGACCTGATTGTTGCAGTAAAACTTTTTTGAAAGCAAATTTGGAAAGTTCATTGCTTTGCATTTGTAGAAATTCTGACTTGACTCATTCTAATGTGCCTGCTAGTTCACGAGATGGGAATTCAGCTGTATAATAGTTCAAAACTTCAAACTAAAATTTCCGTTCATCAGTATGAAATTTGTAGAAAGAAGATGAAGTTAAACCATTAAGATTGGCATTGTGTTCTGTTATAAGTAACCTTGCATTAAATTTTGTAGAAAGAAGATGAAGTTAAACCATTAAGATTGGCATTGTGTTCTGTTATAAGTAACCTTGCATTTCTCACGCTGTTGGACTTTAACTGCATTGTTAACTTCATCAACTATTTAAAAGGAAGAAACACAGTGGTGTTCAGAATGATGGACTGGTTCTAGCAGAACAGCAAGAGTAAGGTTGAAAGAAGCTTTTAGTCCACGTATTGTTAATTTTTTTTCCCCATTCTTATGCAATTACATTTTGTTTTGTTTTGGGTGGTCTATAGAGATAGTTTCTGATGGTTCAGCACTTGTAACAGATATTGTTCTGCTCTTCTTTCTGCTGGCACAACTGTTCCACAGGCATGAAGTACTTGATCCTAATGCAAACAGCCACGGTTCACGGGATAATCTCATAGTTCAGGCTACGTGCACTGCATGAAAACTGAAAGTCGTCGTTTTTATATGATGGAATAGGTTTTGCCAGATATCTTCAGTTGAAGGTCTTGCAATTAGTTCATGTCTCTTCATTGACAAACGAGTTGCTGCTTGGCAGCATGAATGAAAGACATTTAAACGTAATCATGTAACAGCATAGTTGATGTGAAGCAAAGCTTAGTCAAGCAAACCAAATTATACGTTGTTGCTGAATTTAACTTAATTTTGTTCTCTTATATATAACAAGTTAACGAGAGTAAACCCGTCAAAAAAAAAAAAAAAAGAAAAAGAAAAAGGAGAGTAAAACCTAAGCTCAATCACACCTTTTCATCTCTCTTGCTCTTGCCTTGAATCGGGTTAGCAACAAAGCATTTAAATTCGAGCTTGATGTAATTTCAATAATGATTTTACACATGCAAAATATAATCAATACAACAAAAAACAAATATGCTCAAAATAAAATATGTTTATAGAAGAAACTTTTCACTTAAAAAAAAAAAACAATGAATTGTGTACATAACGACTCTTATTTATTTTTATTTTCTTGTTTTTTTTTTTGAAAAAACAGTCTATGTACAACTGTTTGATAATCATGCATTCATAGGAAGAAAATTTGTTAACTATTACTAAAACAAAAGTCATTAAGGGACACATGTCAATTCCTTATTAAAAAAATTCTCGCCTAAACTATTTTTGACATCATCTTTATTATTATTTTTTCTCTTCCTATATTCCAAAACTAAATAGATATGGTGCTTATTTCAAAATTAATTACTGAGATTATGATTTTTTTTTAAAATATAAATTTGACAACTATTTAAACATATAATGGCTTCTTAATCCGTGCAACGCACGGATAGGGATGGCAACGGGCCGGACTTGGAGCGGATTATGCTAAATGCCTAAATCCGACTTCGACCCGATAGGAAGTCGGAGGTTAAATCCGACTCCGACTCCGACATCTGACTCTGACTTCAATATCCGACCTTCGACTCTGACTCCGATCCGACCCAACTCCGAGTTTTTTTTTTTTTTCATTATTCAATATACTTTGAGATGTTGGGCTATTTGGGCCTTTACAATCCACACCCAATGCCACCATGACCCACACAAAAATCCACAATATTTTGAGTCGGAGTCGGATAATCCGTTAAAATCGGACATTTGTCGGATTCGGATTTTTTTCTCGGATTTTTTGTAGGATCCGACTCCGACCCTCCTCCGACTCGGAGTCGAATTATTTTAACGGAGTTGAACTCGGATTACTTTTTTCTCGGACTCGAAGCGGATATTTTACCTCAAACCGGGGTGGAGTAGGGTCGGATCTAGAGCTAGTCCCTGCGCACGGGACTAAACTACTTATTTCCTAAATGAATTTTGTACATAATGACTCTACCTTGCAGCCTTGCTACGTGGCACTAAACTATTGGTTGTGTCTATGTGGAAGTTTTCCAAAGTCAATTAGAACTCGGATACTCCAATACTCCTTATATAAATAACAAAATAAACCCAGAATTTTCATAATTTTGTGAAAAAAAGTCGAAGCTTTTTCTCTCTTTGCATCTAAAATTTCTCCGCCCTTGTTCTAAATTTCTTCACACAAAAAATCAGGTTGGTTTTTCTCTCTCTTTTTCACTTGTTTTTTTGTATTGTACAATTAATTGCATGAATCAGATCTGATTGAGAATTTTCTTGTATTTGATCTAGAAAGTTGTTATCTGAAAACCCAATTCATTGTTCTTCAAATTTAGTATCTTCGGGATTTACGATTTAGATCTATGTGACATGCACTGTTAACTCTGTGATTATTGTTGAATTTGATCTATCTCTGGCACTAAACCTTGATTTGTTTTTCAAAGTTCGTGAATTTCTTGTTGAATCACAGATGTTGAGTGGTAGACCCATCAAAATTAGGTATTTTATTGTTGTTAGATTTAGGGTTTTAGCAGTTAATTGCTTGGATTTGATGCGCCCTCGATCGTTAATTGTGTAAAATATTGAATTGTGTTTATTAGGGTATTTAGATTTGGACAATTGGGGGTAAAGTTGGCGGGTTGATTAGAAGAAAGGATTGGTATTTCTTGATGAAATATTTAGGAGATGATAGTACAGGGTAATTACAAGATGGAATTAATTGTTATTATTTTTGTTGGGATTTTCGATCCATAATGAAAGAGATTATACTTAAGCCGTGGTTATTGCCAAAACTTGCTGTTTTATCGTAGAGTTAGGGAATTTGAAGCTTGAATTGGATTATACTTCAATCACTGCAATAATGCTGCGGCGATGCCAACACTTGTCGCTTTTTCGTAGGATCTGGAGGCTTTGAAGCTTGTATATGAGTTGTAATTTTGCTATATTTGGGTTATTTTCATCGAATGGGTGGGTTTGTATTTGGTGGTGTATTAGGCCTTGGTATGAAGTTTCTAGTGTATATGTATCTGGGGAATTAGCTAGGATATGATTGGGATGAATCTTGTACTTCCTCCGTCGTAAATAAAGTACTCCATCATATATCTTTTGTTTTTGGTTTATTCTTTCTTCCTGCGAATTGTATTGATCTTGGTGATGTTGCATTGTATTTTTGTCTGTGTTAATAAATTTATGTATCTGTTTTTTATTTTTATTTTCATGTTGGTGTTGCATTGTTTTTCCCTTAATCTTGTTTTACCTTTGAGAGAAGACCATGCATCAATAAGATTGGTGGCTGTAAATGGCATTGCAAAAATTTCCTTGTTCTCTTTCTTTATTTCAATAGCTGTCAGAGGTTTATGGTCTTAGGAAGGGGTACTAGGGGAGTAGGGATACCCACTTCACATTAATCTTCATCATGTTTGAATTATGCAAGTTTATCTGCTCAAAGATTGTAGCGCAGGATTCGTCAGCTTGCTCAATGGGCATCGATATAACGCTATTTGCTTTTAATCTTTCAGCCTGTTCTGAAAAGATTTGACTTAACAATATTTCCAATATAATCTTTTTTGATTGTGTGCAGCATAGATTCATGATTGTATGGTCTGTTGATCCTGTATTCCTGTTACTGTTAAATGTTAATCAAGTGTAATTCTCCCTTGCTGTATGTCTAACTATTATGTAACTGAGTTCTAATGAGCGATATGTTCTTTGCAGATATGGCAACTGGAACAGCTCCCCCAAGAGGAAGTGCAGCTGCCACTGCTAGCCTTCGCCGAAGGAGGACTACTAGTGGTGGAAATGCCGCAGGAGGGGCTTCGGGAACTATGCTGCAATTTTACACCGATGATGCTCCGGGTTTGAAAATCTCCCCAAATGTTGTACTTATGATGAGCATTGGTTTCATTGCCTTCGTTGCTATGCTTCATGTTGTGGGCAAGCTCTGGTTGGTGAGGAAAGAGTAAAGCAAGCCTTACTAGAAAAGTGTTGGTTGGCTCGTACTTAGGCACCTTTGCAATTTTTTTGTTTTGTAATCAGCTTTGACAACCATATTAGTATTATGCTGCTAAAATTTATGAGCAATGATGTTCTACTGTTACGAAACAGAGATTAGTGTTTAATATATCGGCATTTGAAACCTGTTGATCTTTTTGCCTTCTCTGTTTAAATCCCAACCTTTCAAAATTTATAGTTGCGTCTTTCAGAAATTTCTTTAATGAATCGCTCGGATTGAACTTCATTTGATACATGTTTGCAGAATTCACATTATCCGTATCAGCAGCCTGATATACGTCCATCTTATGACTGTTTAATGATAATA